CTACAATCTCTCTCCTGCTGGTAATTTTTTAATTACATGCCATTCATCACAGTAATTTACTATTTTCTTCTAATATTTATAGAGTATTCTAGATTGGTAAGAATAAAAGGAAAAAAAACTGATCCATCAATTTGAAATTTAAAACAATTAGTCAATTTTGCAATAAATTCCACCAATACCAAGTATATCCCAAAACACAAGTCATCACATTTTGATAAAAGAAGGAGAAAAAAGTGACCCAAATTTGTTAAAAAAGGAAAACAATTGACTCAATATCTATGCAAAATTGATGACAAACAATATGTGAAACAAATTCAGCACAATAAATAAGACAATCAAAATATAATACAACCTATAAAGCATATCAAGTTAGGGGTATTTTAAGAATTTGAAAAAATAAAATAACATTTACGCATAAGCATGTTTACTTACGGAGTCATGAATCGGGTAACTTAAGAATTTGGGAATAAGGAACTGAAATTGGATCAACTACTCTCCCTAGTTGATTTGATTTCTAGTTTGAAGGGTATTTAATTACGTATTTTACCATGGAACTCCCCATAATTTTTTATTTCGCATGTGTAAGTAAACGCATGGGAAGTAAGGAATTGGAATTATTCTAATACCCATTACTGATAAGTAAACATACCATAAACTTGCTTAGGTATTTTCTTAGTTGGATCCAAGTCATCGAAATTTGCCAAGAAAAAAAATAATACTATGGACTACAGAGTATTGGATGAAAGATAATTTGACAAAACCTCTGTTATTTTACAGAATTGTACGAGCAAGCTATCAAGTACGAGAAAGGTTCGTTTATAACAGCAACTGGTGCCTTGGCCACATTGTCCGGAGCAAAGACTGGTCGTTCACCGAGAGACAAACGAGTGGTGAAAGATGAAGAAACCGAAAATGAGCTCTGGTGGGGAAAGTAAGTGCTTTTCTACTGCTACTGTTACCTTTTTTTGGTGGCCATTATATCCGTGACTTTTGGTCCTTTTTCAGGTAGTGATTTGATTTGATGCCCAGTTGAAAATATGTTCCCTTAAGTTGATTAAGCTATGCATTTTCGTTAATCTTAATTAGGGGCGCACCCAACATTGAAATGGACGAGCACACTTTCTTAGTGAACAGAGAAAGAGCTGTAGATTACTTGAATTCCTTGGACAAGGTACGTACCACATGTTGATATATCTCTCTTCCGTGTGTTGCCGAATTTACTTAGCTTTAAATTTTCACACGTGATTTAGGTCAGTAGGTAAAGACAGTGTGTCCACCCAATACAGCTGAGTTTGGTCATCTTTTCCGCAAATTAGATAATTAACTGGTACACATATTTTAATTAGTTTGCTTAAACAAGGGCCTAAAATCATGAAGCAAACGTGTTAATCAGCTGGCAATGACTGTTTGCAAAGTTTTGCTTGGTGGATGCTTATCCTGTTATCCATTCCTGAATCTAAGGGATATGCACAGGTGTACATGATGATTGATGATTGCTAGAAGAAGAATATGATATCCTCCCACCAACTTTGTTTGCTTTTTCCATGAACTTGACGTGGGCTACATGATATTATAAAGGAAAAGTTGACCAAAGTATTTTTTAAGCCGTAGTGGTTGGTCTGACTATTTTAGTGAACTTTGTGGACATTTTCTTCTCCTTTGTGATAGCGTTCCACTACTGTCATAATAAACTATACATCCTGGTGTGGTACTGGTAAAGTATTTAGATTAATTATTCAGTAAGAGACAACAAGCTATAATCTTGTAAGACCTCCATCGCATTTTAGTAATGTGTGTATAAGAAACTCTTTTTTCCCCTTATAGTTTAGATTATCGTTTGTATTATTAAAAAAAAAAAAAAAATCAACTTGATGGATGAGTGTGAAACTTGGAAATTTTGAATTTTGAATAACTGCAATTCATTTATGCTTTGAGGTACCATATATGTAATGGAAAATATAAACCTGAGAATTAATGAAGGAAATGAAATTGTAGAGAATGATCTTATATATAATGAATCACTTGTGTTTGGATATCAAATTGGAAGACTATTAAATGTAATAGCACAATACCTCATGATAGTTGCAACAGTTAGCCTAACAGTTCAAGTAATGAGCTTTTGTTTCTATTACCCATATAAGAACAATCCTGCCTTTTCTTGCAAGCTAGGAAGCAAAATAAATATTGGATCAAGAATTTTAATAATCTTTTAATAAAAATAAAAAAGAAATTTTGATACTTATCTCTATTTCTTCCAATTTAATCTGTAATGAGTGGTGACCGCTGCTCTGATAATTCTGCAACTCAGGTATATGTGAATGATCAGTTTCTCAACTGGGATCCAGAACACCGAATCAAAGTTCGGATTGTATCTGCAAGAGCTTACCACTCCCTCTTTATGCATAACATGTAAGTAATGAAGCTGATATTCCTGCTTGTATGAGCTTAAACATATTAGGCTCTTAGCTTAGTGTCCAAGCAATAACCGGCTATCACGTGACAGGTGCATCCGCCCTACTCCTGAAGAGCTGTTGGAATTTGGTACTCCGGACTTCACAATCTACAATGCCGGGCAGTTCCCGTGTAACCGTTACACCCACTACATGACTTCCTCCACTAGCGTAGACCTCAATCTTTCTAGGAGGGAAATGGTCATACTTGGCACCCAGTATGCTGGGGAAATGAAGAAAGGCCTGTTCAGTGTCATGCACTATCTCATGCCTAAGCGTCAAATCTTGTCCCTACACTCCGGCTGCAACATGGGGAAAGATGGGGATGTTGCCCTTTTCTTTGGCTTATCAGGTAGAGTTTTATTGCATTTTCAAGGCTGTATGCACCGTGATCAATCGCCAGCCAACCTATTTTGCTTTATTATTTGTTCCAGTTTCTTTTGTATCTTTGCAACTGATGATTCATATGTTTGCCATAGGCACTGGGAAGACGACTCTGTCTACAGATCATAATAGGTATTTAATTGGAGATGATGAGCACTGCTGGAGCAACAATGGTGTGTCAAACATTGAAGGTGGTTGCTATGCCAAGTGCATTGATTTGTCAAAGGACAAGGAGCCAGATATTTGGAATGCTATCAAATTTGGGACTGGTAACACCACTACATAACTGAACTTTCTACTTTGAAAATGAGTGTTAGTTTTTCTGGTTTGTGTCATGATTGAATTGCTATTCGTATTCTTATCAACTACGATTGCATATGTTTGGCAGTTGTGGAGAATGTTGTGTTCGATGAGTATACTCGAGAGGTGGATTACTCCGAAAAATCTGTTACTGGTAAGGTTCCTGCATATTTTTTAATAAACTGATTACTTTTTGTGTTTAAGCAAACTATCATTTAGTAAACTTCGAAAATGTTGTGGTGTTTGTTCGTGGATATTTATTGTAGCAATCCGTAGCACAAGCAACAATAAGTAGATCAGATTTTACAGAAAGAATGACATGAAGCATAATTCACACACAACATTTTTTTCTGTACAACTAATATACATAATCATGTTTTGTTTCTTGCTGATTTTTGTTTTGACCTTGACAAAAATTGTTGCAGAGAACACTCGGGCAGCATATCCTATAGAATACATACCAAATGCGAAAATACCATGTGTTGGCCCCCATCCGAAAAATGTCATCCTTCTGGCATGTGATGCATTTGGTGTGCTCCCACCTGTGAGCAAGTTGAGCTTGGCACAAACTATGTACCATTTCATCAGCGGCTACACTGCTTTGGTACTTATCCAATCTTCTTTCCATTTGAAACATTTACTAGTTGCATGCATTGCGTATTATTGATGGAACTCCCAAATGTAAAAACAGGTGGCTGGAACAGAGGATGGTATTAAGGAGCCGCAAGCTACATTCTCAGCGTGCTTCGGTGCAGCGTTTATAATGATGCATCCCACAAGGTATGCAGCAATGTTGTCTGAAAAGATGCAGAAGCACGGCGCCACTGGATGGCTTGTTAATACAGGCTGGTCTGCAGGAAGGTATGAAATTAATAGAAACAGAAATATACTGATGCTCCTCGATTTTATTTTTATCAATAGGGGAGGTGAGGATTCGAACTTGGGACATCTTCCAATGTTGGAATGAGAAATACCACTAGACTAAGAGCTAGTCGGATGGACTTTGATTATCTAACATTTAGTTTTTCTGCAGGTATGGAACAGGTAACCGTATCAAATTAGCCTATACCAGGAAGATTATTGATGCTATTCACTCGGGGACGCTTTTGAATGCAAGCTACACCAAGACTGAAGTATTTGGTCTGGAGATCCCTACTGAGATTGAGGGTGTGCCTTCAGAAATTCTGGATCCAACAAACACTGTCAGTTCACTCAATTTTATTTGGTTCCTTCTTATTTGATTGCTACTACACATTTTTGGCTGGCATTTAATTTGTATTAACTAGGTTTGAGTGAATTTTTCCAATGGCAGTGGTCAGACAAAAAAGCCTACAAAGACACACTGCTTCAGCTGGGTGGTCTGTTCAAGAAGAACTTTGAGGTATTCTTGAATCACAAGATTGGAAAGGACAACAAGCTCACGGAGGAAATTCTTGCAGCGGGTCCAAATTTTTAATGAAATGAAATATTGGTGAAGGTGAAACAAAATGAAATGAAAGATGAACCTACATATGTGATGTGTAATGATTAAATCTTTCCCGAAGTTTTTATGTATAAATTGCTACAATAATCAGCCAATAACTTCATCACTTTGTGTAAAGAAAGAAAAGTGTCATTAAGTTTTCTCTGTTCTCTTTTGGTCGTGTGTTGAGTACCAAACTGAATGCTACTGAGCACCCTAAACCTCCTTCCCACTTCAACCAGTTTTATTCCAACAAAATTGTTTTTACTTTGAGACTATAAATTTCATGTTGGTATTTGGATATAAGTTGCTGAATAACTAAGAACTTATGTTTATTTTGGGAATTTTGGTATTGAGGGCTAGACTTTTTTGGTTTTAGTACAAGCGATTGGAGAAAAAAGTTTACACAAATATTGGGGTGCCTAGGTTTCGAACCTCTGTTCACATTGATGGAGGTGAAAAAGCCATCCCCCACCCCACTAACATCAAGGACTATAATAATCTTATGAGTGGCTTGAAGATGGAGGAAAATTGATGTGGACATTTAAACAACTCTCATTTCGAAGAAACCCAAGGTCGTTGGAATTGGAAAGCTCCTAGTTCTTGCAGGGCAATTGTCCCGTGGTCCACAAGAACGCGGGGAGAAGAACAACTGTTGACTTGATTGGACGCCTTAAGAAAATAGCCTATTTTCTCAACCGCAAATAATAGAGCTAATAATATTGAACTGAAAAGGAGGCGAATGAGAAAGAATTATCCTTCAAAAACAAAAACAAAAACAAAAGAATATATGAAAGAGCTAGCATTATTGAAACCCTACCCAAAAACAAAAGAAGATATGAAGCCACTGAGATAGTGATCATTTTGTTGTGGTATCATCTCTGTTGGTTAAACTGTGACTGACTGTTTATCCACACCTGTTGATCTCAAGAGCTGTGTCCATTCACGACTTGCCATGGAAGCTGTGATTGTAGCTCCGCTTCTAGAGGTGCTGTTTGGAAGGCTAACTTCCTCTGTTGCTGGTGAAGTGCAAACTCGCCGAGATTTCAAGAAGGAGATGGAGAAGCTGCGGAACATGTTACCAGTGATTCAAGGCGTGATAGAAGATGCAGAGGAGCAGCAGATGAAAGATAAGAAGGTCAGAGGTTGGCTGGTGAAGCTCAAAGAAGTGGCCTGCGAAGCAGACGACCTGTTGGATGAGATTTCCACCCTCCTTCTGCGAAGACTGTTAATGGAAGTGACCAACGGCAACTACAACGACCTGTCTTACAGACTTCGTAATCGACCTTCAAACACCGAGGAGGGGTTTGGTCTCAGACTGAGACAGATTCGACAACGGACAACATATAAGGTAAGGAAGACTACCTTAAAGCTTGCAACAATTCCAGTTCACTTTAAAATGTCGCGTAAGCTGAAGGAGATTCGGGAAAATCTGGAAGATCTCACCAAGCAAATGTCTTGCTTCCAATTCAAACAGTGTTCGCCATATAAGCGGTCAGATACCATGGAGAGACGCGAAACCGGACCCTATGTTGATGAATCTAAGGTTTTTGGCAGAGATGAGGATGTGAAGAAGATTGTTGAGAAGTTGCTGTCAGGAAGTGGTCCTCAAGTTCCAGTAATTCCGATTGTTGGAATTGGAGGCATGGGGAAGACAACACTTGCTCAGTTAGTATACAATGATCCGAGGGTCAGGAGGCATTTTGAACTTGAGATGTGGGTATCCATCAATGATAATTTCAACTCGAAAAGGATCATCAATCAAATGTTGGATTATGTCACAAAGAGTAGCCATGACAGCTTGCAGATTGGTGTGCTGCAGTCTCAGTTGAGGCAATCATTGGGGGGAAAAAGATACTTACTTGTGCTAGATGATGTGTGGAACCATGATCAAGATGAATGGGATAAACTAATTAATCCATTGAAGGGCACTGCGGATGGAAGTAAAATTATACTTACTACACGGAGCGAGGCAGTCGCAGCAATAACTAGTGCATCTCCCCCTTACCGTTTGGAAGCGCTAAGCAAAGATGATTGTTGGAAATTGTTCAAGCAACTAGCCTTTTCAGAGGGAAAAGAAGATGAATTTCCAAGCTTACTGCCCATTGGTGAACAAATAGTTGACAAGTGCAAAGGTGTACCTTTGGTGGCTAAAACTCTTGGAAGCCTACTGCGCTTAAAAAGACAAGAAACCGAGTGGTCAAATGTGCAAAAGAGTGAGCTGTGGAGTAACAATGGAGGTGAGAACAGAATTTTAACAATCTTACGACTGAGTTACAATCACTTGCCATCGCATCTAAAACCTTGTTTTGCATATTGCTCAGTGTTCCCTAAAAATTACGAGATAAATAAGGAAAAGTTGATCCATCAATGGGTTGCACAAGGCTTAATTGATGATCAAGAGTCTTTCCTGAATATGGAGGACATTGGGAACGAGTATTTTAACAACTTATTGATGATGTCTTTCTTTCAAGGCATAAGAAAATCTGATGACGACGAAGTTATGACAGAGTTTACAATGCATGACCTTATTCATGATCTTGCAAAGTCTGTCTCTGGAGAAGAATTTATGACTCTTGAGCATGACAACGTGCGTTCTAATCTCATAGAAATTCCGTACCTGACAGATGGTTTCTCAAAGATACGCCATGCTTCAGTTGTTTCCAATCCTAGCTCTTGTTTGATCCCCAAAGCCTTGTGTAAAGCAAAGAAACTGCGTACCCTCAATTTGCTGTCACCAAGAGAGGATTCTGAGCAAGTCCTTCCTGCTTTAGTCTCAACTTTTAAGCACCTCAGAGTGCTCAATCTGAGTGGATATGACACTAAAAGACTGCACAGATCGATTGGGGGGTTGATATATTTGAGATATCTTGATCTCTCTTATACTCTCATTGAGACCATGCCAGCAACAATCTGTGATCTCTGCAATTTGCAGACACTGAATCTTTCAAATTGCAGTGAGCTCAGGGAGTTACCAAGGGGTACAGCAAGGTTGATAAGACTGAGACATCTGCATATAGATAATTGTGCAAAACTTGATTACATGCCCCCATCAATCGGAAACTTATGCCAACTTCGGACTTTGCCAGTATTTATTGTTGGTTGCAAAATCGAAGATGACATTATTCAGCTTCTGACACTGAGAAATCTTGAAGGCAACTTAAAAATCACACACCTGGAGAGAGTTCCTATATGTCATGAGATCTCAGGTATTCCGAGGTGGATGTCATCAAGAAACTTCTACTCATTAGAACTGTCATGGGGGTATGTTGATGAGGGTAAGTCAGCTAGTAACACATCCAGCAGACAAAGTCCCAGGCGCAATCCACTTGAAGATGAGAATTTATGCTATTGTTTTGAACCAAACCACTGTATAAGAAATTTGTCCATAAAAGGTTATTCAGGAGAAACCTTTCCCGATTGGATGAAAGGCCTTGAAAATCTCACTCAGGTGAACTTCATTAACTGCAAGAACTGTGAGAGTCTTCCTACGCTTGGGCAACTTCCAGTCCTCAAGATCCTTAACATCCAAGGAATGGAATCCATCGTAAACATTGGTGTTGAGTTCTCAGGTGAAGGTGATAGACCATTCCCGTCACTGAAAGAACTAACACTCAGAGACTTTCCTGCATTGCAAACTTGGAGAAGTAAGGATTCTGTGGATGCATTTACTTGTCTGGACAGATTAATCATCTCAAAATGTCCATTGTTGATAACCATGCCATGGTTTCCTTCTCTTCAAAACTTGGAGCTGCAGAACTGCAACGATAAGGTAGTATGGCCAGCATCAGATCTAAACTCGCTTTCCACTCTCATTATTGACTTCTGTCAAGAGTTATGCTTTCTACCAAAAAGATTGCTGCAGAGCAATTCACGTCTGAAGTCCTTAACACTTACCTCATGTCCCAAGCTTAGCTCTATACCTGAAAATCTAGCAAACCTGACTGCTCTGGAATCGCTGAAAATTGCGTGGTGTGACCAGCTAGATACTTTGCCACATGGATTAAGAAACCTCACGTCACTGAAGAATTTGGAGATCATTGAGTGTCCTAATTTATCCTGTTTGCCAGAAGAAAGCATGGAAGGCTTGTGCTCACTTCGATCATTCTCGATTGAGAATTGTCCAAGCTTAACATCTTTGCCAATGGGGATGAAACACCTCACAGCCCTTGAGAACCTCACAATCATGTATTGTCCTAATATGGTTCATCTGCCAGATAATTTTCAATGCCTCTCAGCACTTAGAAGCATGGCCATTTTAAGCTGTTCGGAGATCGCATCTTTGCCAGAGGGACTGCAATATTAGGGAATCTCCTATATCAAAGGAGATCAGTCCATCAACAACACAATCGGCTCCTCCGTATGAAAGTCAAATGTGATATATATGCTAAGCTGTCTTTCCTATTCTATTTGATTAGGATTGATTCAGTCACTCAAGTCTGATTGTATTTACCTTATTAGGATTGTATTCAAACTGTATATAATCATAGACCTGTACCTGTAAACATGATTATTGAAATATACCAATTGATCTCAGCTCTTATATGGTATCACAGCCCAAAAACTCCAACGAGCAAATTTTTTTTCCTGATTCCTCTCTTCTCTGTCTTCATCCATGGCCACTGACGCCTCTGCAACCATCCCTGTACCAGAGATCAACTCCTCCACTCCCACCTTGATCACAATCAACGCTACAGCCCAACTACCCGTAAAACTCACACCCACCAATTACCCATCATGGCGTGCTCAATTCAACGCCCTCCTTTACGGCTACGACCTCATGGGTTATGTGGACGGTTCTAGTCTCTGCCCATCAACCACTCAAACCGTGCTTCGCACCTTTTGGATTCGGCAAGATCAACTCCTCCTCCATGCGATTCTTGCTTCCGTCTCACCACAGGTCATCTCCCTTATCGCCTCTGCCAAGACATCCAAGGAGGCTTGGGACAAGCTTCTCCATCTCTTTGCTAGCAAAGCTCGTGCCCGCGTTCTTGGTCTCAAAGAACGCCTCACTCTCCTGCGCCGTGAGAACAAGCCTGTCTCTGAGTATCTGCAAGAAGTCCGTGTTATTGCAGATGAGCTCGCCATCATTGATGTTCCCCTCTCCGATGACGATCTCCTCCTCTACATTCTTAATGGTGTTGGATCTGACTTCAAGGAAATTGCTGCGGTGGTTCGTTCCCGCGACACCTCAATTTCTTTTGAAAACCTCCATGACAAGCTGGTTGAACATGAAGCCGCTCTCAAGCGTGATGATACCGCTGTTGCTGCCCCAGTGATCACTGCCAATGTCACTCAGACATCTCGCTCCCACACCTCAAACCGTGGCTATCGCTCTAACAACTCCAACCGTGGGTCCTTTGCCTCTCGCAATCCTTCTCGTGGTTCCTATGGGCCCACCCAACCAGCTTTCACTGACAATAGTCGTCGCCCTACCCACATGAACAGCACAGGTTATCGTGGTTTCTGTCAATGGTGTGGCACTCAAGGTCATAGTGCCAAACGCTGCCCCCAACTCCAATCTGGCCCTCACAGTCAGCCAGTGGCCAATCCTACCACCCATGGTAGGCCCACCTCTTCTCCAACATGGTTGCTTGATTCTGGTGCCTCTCACCATGTTACCTCCAACGTCAACACTCTCTCTGGTGCCTCTACATATGATGGTCCTGATGAAATAATTATTGGTAATGGTTCAGGTTTGGGTATCACTCATGTCGGTTCAACCACTTTACCCTCCTCATCCTCTCAATCTTTCACCTTATCCAATGTTCTCTGTGTTCCTTCTATGCAAAAAGACATTATTTCTATTTCTAAATTTAATAAACAAAATAATACATCTATTGAACTTTTTCCTGATTTCTTTCATGTCAAGGATCTGAGCACGGGGGCGGTTCTTCTTCGAGGCCCGAATAAGGATGATGTGTACGAGTGGTCTCCCAAATCCTTTTGTCAACCGCAAGCTCTAGTGGGTGTGGTGGTCTCTCCCAACCTCTGGCATCGTCGTCTTGGTCACCCCAGTCACAAAACTCTCCAACAAGTCCTTCGTTTATCTTCCATTAATGTGTCTTCCAAATTGTCCGAGTCTGTTTGTCATTCGTGTCTATGTAATAAAAGCCATCGGCTCCCGTTTGGTACTTCGTCTCTCACTAGTCATGGTCCATTAGACCTCCTTTACAGTGATGTTTGGGGCCCTGCTCCATACTCTTCTATTGATGGTTTTTCCTACTATGTTATATTTGTTGACCATTTCACAAAATACATATGGCTCTACCCTCTCAAAAAGAAATCTGATGTGTTTTCCACTTTTGTCACCTTCAAAGCACTTGTCGAAAATTACTTCAAAAGAAAAATCACTAGATTATACACTGATGGTGGGGGAGAATTCATCAAACTCCAACATTTTCTCTCATCCAATGGCATCACCCATCTTCTTACACCACCTCACACTCCGCAACACAATGGGGTCGCCGAACGGCGACACCGTCATATTGTTGAAACCGGTCTCACCCTTCTTCATCAAGCTTCTTTACCTCTCACCTATTGGTCTTATGCCTTTAAAACAGCTGCCTATCTTATCAACCGCATGCCCACTCCGCTTCTCCACAATCTCTCCCCATTCACTCAACTATTTGATGAACAGCCCAATTACTCCCGTCTTCGTACCTTTGGGTGCTTGTGTTTTCCTTGGTTACGTCCTTACAATTCAAATAAATTACTTCCTCGTTCCCGCCCATGTCTCTTCCTTGGTTACTCACCTAATCAAAGTGCCTTTCAGTGTCTTGATCTTTCCTCCAACAAAATTTTTATCTCTCGGCATGTTCAATTTGATGAGTCCACTTTTCCTCTTGCCAACCTCCCTTCCTCCATTCCCCATGTCACTGTTGATAACTCTCACACTTGGGTCTCCTCTCTTCCTCCAGTTACTTATGTTCCTATACACTCACCCACCATGCCTGTTGCACCGGTTGTTTCTTCTTCGATGCCACCACATGTCACATCAGCCTCATCATCAGCATCTGCCCCCGTCTCGGAGCCGTCACCATCAGTAGCCCTGGCCCCCATTGCTGCTCCTGCTGCTCCTCTCTTACCATCCCCTGGTGCCTCTCACCATGTTACCTCCAACGTCAACACTCTCTCTGGTGCCTCTACATATGATGGTCCTGATGAAATAATTATTGGTAATGGTTCAGGTTTGGGTATCACTCATGTCGGTTCAACCACTTTACCCTCCTCATCCTCTCAATCTTTCACCTTATCCAATGTTCTCTGTGTTCCTTCTATGCAAAAAGACATTATTTCTATTTCTAAATTTAATAAACAAAATAATACATCTATTGAACTTTTTCCTGATTTCTTTCATGTCAAGGATCTGAGCACGGGGGCGGTTCTTCTTCGAGGCCCGAATAAGGATGATGTGTACGAGTGGTCTCCCAAATCCTTTTGTCAACCGCAAGCTCTAGTGGGTGTGGTGGTCTCTCCCAACCTCTGGCATCGTCGTCTTGGTCACCCCAGTCACAAAACTCTCCAACAAGTCCTTCGTTTATCTTCCATTAATGTGTCTTCCAAATTGTCCGAGTCTGTTTGTCATTCGTGTCTATGTAATAAAAGCCATCGGCTCCCGTTTGGTACTTCGTCTCTCACTAGTCATGGTCCATTAGACCTCCTTTACAGTGATGTTTGGGGCCCTGCTCCATACTCTTCTATTGATGGTTTTTCCTACTATGTTATATTTGTTGACCATTTCACAAAATACATATGGCTCTACCCTCTCAAAAAGAAATCTGATGTGTTTTCCACTTTTGTCACCTTCAAAGCACTTGTCGAAAATTACTTCAAAAGAAAAATCACTAGATTATACACTGATGGTGGGGGAGAATTCATCAAACTCCAACATTTTCTCTCATCCAATGGCATCACCCATCTTCTTACACCACCTCACACTCCGCAACACAATGGGGTCGCCGAACGGCGACACCGTCATATTGTTGAAACCGGTCTCACCCTTCTTCATCAAGCTTCTTTACCTCTCACCTATTGGTCTTATGCCTTTAAAACAGCTGCCTATCTTATCAACCGCATGCCCACTCCGCTTCTCCACAATCTCTCCCCATTCACTCAACTATTTGATGAACAGCCCAATTACTCCCGTCTTCGTACCTTTGGGTGCTTGTGTTTTCCTTGGTTACGTCCTTACAATTCAAATAAATTACTTCCTCGTTCCCGCCCATGTCTCTTCCTTGGTTACTCACCTAATCAAAGTGCCTTTCAGTGTCTTGATCTTTCCTCCAACAAAATTTTTATCTCTCGGCATGTTCAATTTGATGAGTCCACTTTTCCTCTTGCCAACCTCCCTTCCTCCATTCCCCATGTCACTGTTGATAACTCTCACACTTGGGTCTCCTCTCTTCCTCCAGTTACTTATGTTCCTATACACTCACCCACCATGCCTGTTGCACCGGTTGTTTCTTCTTCGATGCCACCACATGTCACATCAGCCTCATCATCAGCATCTGCCCCCGTCTCGGAGCCGTCACCATCAGTATCCCTGGCCCCCATTGCTGCTGCTGCTGCTCCTCTCTTACCATCCCCCAACCCCCAAGCCTCAGCCCCTACCTCACATTCTCCAGCCCAAATTGACCCAGCCCAGCCACCTCCCCACCTCAGCCCAATTCGTACATACACTAGAAACCCTCATAGGACTGTTGTCACCTTTCCATCCTCTGACCCGCACCCTTCCAACCCCCCCGTACCCCCTGTGCTCCCCGATCATTCCATGGTCACCCGTGCCAAAGCAGGTATCCACAAACCTAATCCCCGATATGCTATGACTGCTACTAAACACCCCATTCTCTCCTCCATTGAACCGACATGTGTTTCCCAGGCCGTTAAGGATCCCCTTTGGCGACAAGCAATGTCCAATGAGTTTAATGCGTTAATTCGCAATGGTACATGGGAGCTCATTCCTTCACTCCCCTCTCAAAATCTTATTGGTTGTAAGTGGGTGTTTCGTATCAAACGGCATCCTGATGGCACTATTGACAGGTACAAGGCACGCTTAGTTGCCAAGGGTTTTCACCAACGTCCTGGTGTTGATTTTTCAGACACTTTCAGTCCGGTGGTCAAACCTACTACCATACGAATTGTTTTGCATCTTGCCGTGACTCATGGTTGGCCAATACGTCAGTTGGACGTTAACAATGCTTTTCTTCATGGCACAATCCGTGAAAATGTCTATATGGTCCAACCGCCTGGTTTTGTTGACGCTAATAATCCATCTCATGTGTGTAAATTGAGGAAAGCCCTCTATGGCCTCAAACAGGCTCCACGGGCGTGGTACAAGGAATTACACTCATTTTTGCTCTCCCATGGCTTTGTCAATGCCATCTCTGATGCCTCGCTCTTTCTCTTCAAAAATGGGACTACTGTAATTTATTTTTTGGTTTATGTTGATGATCTTCTTATTACAGGTAATAATTCCTCACTTGTGGCGAAGTTCATTCAACTCTTAGCCACTCGGTTCTCTGTCAAGGACTTGGGCTCATTACATTACTTTCTTGGTGTTGAGGTTCTTCCCACAGCCACTGGTTTATTCCTCTCTCAGCAAAAGTACATTCATGATCTTCTTGTCAATGCCAAGATGGATGGTGCAAAGGCTGTCAGTACGCCCCTCTCCACAACTGACTCACTTATGCTCCATGATGGCTCCCCCCCAACGGATGCAACTCCCTACCGTCGTCTTGTTGGTGGTCTTCAATACCTAAGCCTTACACGCCCTGACATCTCCTTCGCAGTCAATAAGCTCTCCCAATTCATGCATTCTCCTTCCGAGACTCACTGGCAGGCACTCAAGCGTCTTCTTCGCTACTTGAAGGGTACCATCTCCTTTGGCCTTCATCTTTGTCGCCGCCCCTCTCATCGTCTCTATGCCTTTTCCGATGCTGACTGGGCTGGTGATCATGATGATCGCAAGTCTACGACTGGCTATGTTGTCTACCTCGGTGGAAATCTGATCTCTTGGAGCTCCCGCAAACAGCGGTCTGTCTCTCGCTCCTCCACCGAAGCCGAATACCGCGCCATTGCTGCCACCACTTCTGAACTCACATGGATTCAGTCCTTATTGCTTGAACTTGGCATTCCTCTCCCCACAACACCAGTTGTCTCCTGTGATAACATTGGAGCCATGTTCTATTGCGCTAATCCTGTCCTACATTCCCGTATGAAACATATCGAAATTGATTTTCAGTTTGTACGGGATCGTGTCACTCGTGGTCTTCTTCAAGTGTCTCATGTATCTACTACTGATCAGCTTGCTGACGCTCTCACCAAACCCTTGCCGCGTCCCCGTTTCCATCTCCTTCGCTCCAAGATCGGTGTCTCCGATGGTGCCACCGTCTTGCGGGGGCGTATTAGGGAATCTCCTATATCAAAGGAGATCAGTCCATCAACAACACAATCGGCTCCTCCGTATGAAAGTCAAATGTGATATATATGCTAAGCTGTCTTTCCTATTCTATTTGATTAGGATTGATTCAGTCACTCAAGTCTGATTGTATTTACCTTATTAGGATTGTATTCAAACTGTATATAATCATAGACCTGTACCTGTAAACATGATTATTGAAATATACCAATTGATCTCAGCTCTTATATGCAACACATCCAGAAATTACAAATCCTGGAAATTCGTGGCTGTCCAAAACTCACGGAATTGCCAGAGCGGGTTGAGCATCTTGTTTCACTTCGGTCTTTGACAATCTCAGAGTGTCCAAATATAAAGTTGTTGCCAAATGGTCTACAACGTCTCACTGCGCTCCAACACCTGTCCATCAGAGACTGCCCTGAGCTTGAGCAGCGTTGCAAGAGAGGAGATGGTGAGGACTGGCAGAAGATATTTCATATCCCATTTATCTATGTTGGATCATCAGCATTGCAGCAGAGGCAAGACATTGCATCGACCTCACAAAATCTTTAGGTAAATAATTTCAAATCCTAATTTAAATGAACCATATCACTAAATAATTGTACTTGAGAATGTTGTTATTAAGAACCTAACAATGTTGTCTTATGTTTTTATATTTTCTTGTGGGTTTTGCATAACTGATGGCTACACAGGAAGACAACTGGCTTGCATCCCCTAACAAGAGAATCAGGAAGAGTGAACATCAAGAAAGAGTTTTCTTCCCAGTAAAGTCTTTTTTTTCTGAAAGACCATGGCATGTGTAATGAAAGAATTTACTTTGATGTAACTGGCTTTGGCTTTCTATGTTAATAAAACTTGATTTGTACAAAAGAAAAATGCTCTTACCTCAGAAGATCTAATTCAGATAAAGACTTGCTGGGTTGTGGTTCATTCTGAAATTGTCACGGTCATCTCAATCTTGTAAATGTGCAAATGAGGGAGGGGTGTAAGAATTATGATGGACAGGCGGTTGCAGTCATCTATGTTCAGTAATGACCAATGGGGTGTTAGTTGGATAGGCCCAAACTTCTGGTGTACTCCCAAGTGGTCTTAGGTTCAAGAGTCCCATAGCATCCATGTGTGTGAGTTTCCCTCCCTCCCCTTCCTAACTAAATATGTGAAGAGAAAGCATCTACTTTTTTAAAAATTTAGTTTTATTTCAATTAATTTTGTAATTTATTCAAAGATTAAAAACTGCGTGTCTTTTAAATGTGAACGAAACCAAAACTTTTCAGACTTTTAAATGTGATCATGTATATTTTTTTAGGCTTAATATCACAAAACGTTCCTAAAGTTTTCGAAACTATCAGATTGCATTCTTATTATTTTTTTGTGTCATTCGTGGTCCTCAAGGTTTGTATGTGTGTTCACAAATGGTCCATGCCGTCAGGTTCCGTCAAAAACTCCATTAGTTTGCTGACACGGCATATATATATCACAAAACATCCATGAGGTTCACACACCTATCACAAATGGTCCTTGCAAATTTTTTTTATTGTTTGGTTTAAAATTCATAAAATTTTAGTTTTCTTTTTTAAATTTTATGAATTTTAAATACACGTGACACTATATTATTGGAGATGTGGGCTCCACATATATGTCACATCAACAAACTAATGGTGTTTAAAAAAAAAAAATTAAATGAAAAAAAGCAACATTTTATGAATTTTAAATTATTTAAAAAAATACATATTGTATTTTAAATACACGTGGCCCTATATTATTGGAGTTGTGGGCTCCACATATATGCCACATGAGCAAAAACTAAGGGAGTTTTTTAAATTTAGAAATGAAAAAGCAAAATCTTAAATGAAAAAACCAAAATTTTATGCACCAAGGTTTTTCATTTTAAAATTTTATGAAGGCTTTATATCAGTAAACCCTAAACCCTTGGTTTTTTTCATTTAAAATGCATACAATTTTGGTTTTTTTCATTTTTAAATTTTGTGAATTTAAATGAAAAACCCAAAATTTTAACGGGGTCTATTTGTGAGCACATATTAACCTTGAGGATCTTGAATGACCAAAAAAAAAAGAAAAAAAAAAAAAAAGAAGGACGCAATTTGATAGTTTCGTGAACCTTAGAGAAATTTTGTGATATAAAGTCTTTTATGAATTTTAAGTTTTAAATTATTTAAATATATATATATATATATACACGTCAACAAACTAATAGAGTTTTTTATGGAACCTGATGGTAAGAACCATTTGTGAGCACACATACAAACCTTGAGGAACACAAATGACAAAAAAACCAAAAACAATAATGATGCAATATGATATTTTAGTAAACCTTAGGTCGTTGTCGTCTAGAACAAGTCCAAATCTTAAAAAAAAATAAATGAAAGAGAGTTGTTGAGTACCCTAAACCCTACTCAACGAATTTTGACTTGAAAGTCAACCCTTCCCACTTCAACAGCTCTTGCCCTGTACTCAGCAGCTACTAAGAGATTTCCTGTTCAAAGCTGTGACTGATTGTTCAATCACATCTGTGTTTGTTAAACTGTGGAAGGTATCATATGTGTTTGTTAAACATCACATCTGTTGGGAAGGACCCGCCATGGAATCTGTGCTTGTAGCACCACTTCTGGAGCTGCTCTTTGGAAGGCTGACTTCCTCTGTTATTGGTGAACTGCAAATTTGCAGGGATGTTAAGAAGGAGATAGAGAAGCTGCAGCACACCTTACCGGTGATTCAAGCAGTGATGGAGGACGCAGAGGAGCAGCAAATGAAAGATCAGAAGGTGAGGACTTGGCTGGTCAAGCTCAAAGATGTGGCCTATGATGCTAACGACCTGTTGGATGAGATGTTCACTCTCGTGCAAAGAAGACTGATGATGAAACATGGTTTTTACAAACCAGTTGCTGTACCACGCCGAATTAGGAACACGACAGGGTGGTTTGATCTGAAACTGAGAGAGATTCGAGAGCAGACAACATATAAGTTAAGGAAGACTAATTTTAAGCTTGCAACAATTTCAATTCATTTCAAAATGTCGCATAAGCTGAAGGAGATTCGAGAAAGTCTGGATGATCTCACCAAGCAAATGTCTTGTTTCCAATTCAAACAATATTCGCCCTATAAGCGGTCAGATACCATGGAGAGACGTGAAACCGGACCTTATGTTGATGAATCTAAGGTTTTTGGCAGAGAATATGATGTGGAGAAGATTGTTGAGATGTTACTGTCATCCAGTGGTCCTCAAGTCCCAGTAATTCCGATTGTTGGAATTGGAGGCATGGGGAAGACAACGCTTGCTCAGTTAGTCTATAATGATCTCAGGGTCAAGAGGCATTTTGAACTTGAGATGTGGGTATCCGTCAATGACAATTTCAACCCAAAAAGGATCATCAATGAAATGTTGGGTTATGTCACAAAGGATAGTCGTGATTCCTTGCAGATTGGGGTCCTCCAATCTCAAGTGAGGGAATCATTATGGGGGAAAAGACACTTGCTTGTGCTAGATGATGTGTGGAATGAGGATCAAGATGAATGGGAAAAACTGATGAATCCGTTGAAGGGCACTGCAGATGGAAGTAAAATTATACTGACCACAAGGAGTGAAGCAGTTGCAGCAATTACTAGTGCATTTCCCCCTTATCGTTTGGAAGCGCTAAGCAGAGATGATTGCTGGAATTTGTTTAAGCAACGAGCCTTTGCAGACCGAGGAGAAGAAGAATTTCGGAGCCTATTGACCATTGGTGAACAAATAGTTGACAAGTGCAAAGGTGTACCTTTGGTTGCTAAAATTCTTGGCAGCCTACTGCGCTTTAAAAGAGAAGAAAGTGAGTGGTCAAATGTGCAAAAGAGTGAGATATGGAGTAACAATGGAGGTGAGAACAGAATTTTAACAATCTTACGACTTAGTTACAATCACTTGCCATCGCGTATAAAACCTTGTTTTGCGTATTGCTCAGTGTTCCCTAAAAATTATGAGATTAATAAGGAAAAGTTGATCCATCAATGGATTGCACAAGACTTGATTCGTAAAGAGTCTTTAATGGAACTGGAGGACATTGGGAATGAGTGTTTTAACAACTTATTGATGATGTCTTTCTTTCAAGGCATAAGAAAATCTGATGACGACGAAGTTATGACAGAGTTTAAAATGCATGACCTTATCCATGATCTTGCAAAGTCTGTCTCTGGAGAAGAATTTATGACTATTGGGCATGACAACGTGCATTCTAATCTCATTGAAAGTCTCTACACAACAGATGGTTTCTCAAAGCTACGTCATGCATCGGTTGTTTGCAATCCCAGCTCTTGTTTGATCCCGAGAGCCTTGTGTAAAGCAAAGAAACTGCGTACGCTCAATTTGCTGTCACCAAGAGAGGATTCTGCACAAGTCCCTCCTGCCTTACTCTCAACTTTTAAGCACCTCAGAGTGCTAAATCTGAGTGGATGTGGCACTAAAAGACTGCACAGATCGATTGGTGGGTTGATATATTTGAGATATCTTGATCTCTCTTATACTCTCATTGAGAGCATGCCGGAAACAATCTGTGATCTCTGCAATTTGCAGACACTGAATCTTTCAAGTTGCAGTGAGCTCAGGGAGCTACCAAGTGGTACAGCAAGGTTGATAGGACTGAGACATCTGAATATAGATAATTGTGCAAGACTTGCTTACATGCCCCCATCAATCGGAAAGTTATGCCAACTTCGAACTTTACCAGTGTTTATTGCTGGTTGTGAAATTGAAGATGGCATTTGGCAGCTTCTGAGACTGAATAATCTTCGAGGCAACTTAAAAATCACACACCTGGAGTATGCTCATTTGTATCTGGAGAATCCTATGCGTGCCGTATTCATAGATGATGTTAAGAAGTGGATGGCATCAACAAACTTCTACTCATTGGAACTGTTATGGGGAAATGGTGATGAGGGTAAGTCAGCTAGTTACACATCCAGCAGACAGAGTCCCAGGTGCAATCAAAGAGGTGATGAGGAGCTATTGGATTCTTTTAAACCAAAACCCTCTATAAGAAAGTTGTCCATAAAAGGTTATTCAGGAGCAGCGTTTCCAATTTGGATGAATATGTCTGGCCTTGAAAGTCTCACCCAGGTGAACTTAATTAACTGCAAAAACTGTGAGAGTCTTCCTACACTTGGGCAACTTCCAATCCTCAAGATCCTTAACATCCAAGGAATGGATTCCATCATAAACATCGGTGTTGAGTTCTCAGGTGAAGGTGACCGACCATTCTCGTCACTGAAAGAACTAACCCTCCGAGACTTTCCTGAATTGAAAACTTGGAGCAGTGTGGATTCTGCAGAGGCATTTATTTGCCTGGATAAACTAATCATCACAAAATGTCCATTGTTGATTACCATGCCATGGTTCCCACGTCTCAAATACTTGGAGCTGCAAAAGTGCAACCAATTGATAGTAAGGTCCGCGTCCGAGCTAAACACACTCTCCACCCTCGTTATTGACTTCTTTCAGGACTTAATGTTTCTACCAAAAAAATTGTTGCAAAACAATTCTCGTTTGATGTCATTAACAGTTACCTCTTGCCCCAAGCTTGGCTCAGTGCCTGAAAATCTGGCAAACCTCGCTGATCTGAAATCACTGAAAATTGGATGGTGTGACGAACTGAAAACTTTGCCACATGGATTAAAAAGCCTCACTTCACTGGAGAACTTGGATATTATTGAGTGTCCTAGTTTAATCTGTTTGCCAGAGGAAGGCATGGAAGGCCTGTGCTCACTTCGATCATTCTCAATTGAGAATTGTCCCCGCTTAACATCTTTGCCAATGGGGATGAAACACCTCACAGCTCTTGAGAACCTCACAATCATGTATTGTTCAAACCTAGTTCATCTGCCAGATAATTTCCATTGCCTTGTGGAACTTAGAAGCATGACAATTTTAAGCTGTCCAGAGCTCGCATCTCTGCCAGAGGGACTCCAACACCTGAAGAAATTGCAAATCCTGGAACTTCGTAGCTGCCCGAAACTCATGGAGCTGCCCAACTGGGTGGAGCATCTTGTTTCACTTCGATCCTTGGCAATCTCCAACTGTCCAAATATAAAATCGTTACCAGAAGGTTTAGGACGTCTAAGTGCACTGCAACATCTGTCCATCAGAGACTGTCCTGATCTTGAGCACCATTGTGAGAGAGGAAAAGGCGAGGGCTGGGAGAAGATATCTCATGTCCCTTATATCTATGTTGAATCATCGGCATTGCAGCAGAGGCAACACATTGCATCCACGTCACAAAATGCGTCCACGTCACAAAATCCTTAGGTAAGTAATTTCGTAATGCTAATGTAGTTGAATATCATGACTAATAATTATGCTTCAGATGCTGTTATTCAGAATCTAAAAGTGCTTCTTTCTTTTCTTTTATTTTCTTGCAGTTTTGAAGAACTGATGGCTGGTTGTACGTAGCATAAGAAGCCATTTGGGATCATGATCCGACGGAATTGTGAATCGTGATCGAGTCAAAATGGGTCACAGTTAATGTCCATCTTGTAAATTTGCACCTGAGGGTTTTAAGAATCTTGAAGGCCATGCAGTTGAAATATTCTCTGTTCAAATAGTAATGTTTCATTTTTGGGTTGCTATGACTTCTGCAACTCTGCTTGCGACCTGAACCATTGGCCCTGTGTTCTCATGTTTGTTGTTTCGTCTCAAGTCCAGTGCATATTCTACAATATCAGGTACCATTAACCAAAATCTGGCTGGCTGTGTTAGATTAACAAGTTCAATATGTTTCGTTTTTCTGTTTCTTTTATTTTCTATGCCCTTTTAGGGTGGATTATGTTTTTCCTCCTGAATTTCAAGGAAATGGCCATCCATTAATTTCAATTTGTATTTGTTTTCTTAGGAATTATATTTGTTACCATCCATTTTAATCAAGGCTAGCAATCCCCTGATTTCATTTACTTACTGTTCATTGCAGTTTTCCAGCAGGCAATGAATTTGGGTAAACAAGCGTAAAGCATGGTAAAGATGACAGAACAATTGGGTTTGTGGAGAGTTTGTGTTTGTATCTCTTGTAAATTAGGACTGGGCTCTTATTTATGTGTGCTTTGTAATTTGTATCTATTGTGTGTGCTTGCACATTTAATACTTGTAAGAATCAACGTATTCTTATTCTGCTGGCTGCTACTGAATAATTTTTCCCCAAGATTTTAAATCTCTTGTTACAATAGCTGCCAAGTTTTTTGGACTTTGAGAAGAGAAAATAGTACAAATACAAAAGGTTTCGACCCACAAAAAATAAAAAGTACCAAAAGGAATTTAGTTGGTGTTTAGACTAAATTATATACATTCCTTATTTTGAAATAGGAAACATAATGCAATATGGTAGAATTGGGATGTAATTAGGTATGAAATAATTCTTGAAAAGAAAAGGCTTCATTTGAATAATGGGTCTTGCTTCACTATTATTTTCAATATTTCTTTGTGCTTTCTCATCCTTCAGTTACCATTTTTTTTTAGTGTTATGCTTTCTCATTCTTCAGTTACCATTTTGTTAGTGTTTTAACTACTGAATCTACCATCTCACTGAAGCAATAATTTTTCCTACTTTAACAAATGAAAACTGTAGATCAGTGTTGGAATACCCTCAAAATAAGGAATTGGATCAACTAGGATGAGGTAGTTGATCCAATTCCAATTTCCTACTTTCCCTATTTCTAAGTTTCCAGATTCCTACTTACATGTCATAAGCCTTAAAGACTTGCATGAATTAACAACTTCAATGCCTGGAAAGTTTATGCTAACATACTATCGATCCTCCAAATTGAAAATGGTGCGCATTGTTGTGAGTGAACTAAATAAGCCTTTGTCAGAGAAATATTTACAACACAAAAAACTCAAGCTGAACCAGAGCATTTATACCCAAGAAACCAGATCTGGTCACATACACTTCTCAGCTCAATTCATTTGAGCCCACATACAAAATTTGGAGTATAAGAGACATGGAATTCGTCTCTGGATGCAACAAGGTGCAAGCGCGTAATTGATGCCTAACCCGAGCATTATGAGTTACTACTTCAACCATAGAACACAAACAATTTTGAAAGAAAACAAGAAGCACAAGAACATATCAACTGAAAAAAAAAAATGAAAAAAAGAAAGAAAAAAGGTGTGAATTCATATCTTGCAATGTACATGTAAGTATTTCAAAGCTAAAAATGAAAATGGCTTCAAGAGTACGTATGTATTTGATCTCAAAAATGTATTTCTCTGCAGATAAATTATATGCCTCGGTTCCGGTAAATTGCTACTTACTCACCATGACCTGTTGCAATGAATTTAAGTCCTGTTGTGCCTAGATAATTACAAATTTCTGAAAAAATGAAGAAAAAAAATCAAAGTGAAGGGCCCTTATTATGCGAAGGAGACTGGATTGATTGACCATATATGAATCTTGATTGACGGAATATCATGAATCATGATTGACGTAAAGAAGACGCGTAAACAGACAAATGGATTTAACACCGAAAAGATACAAATGGAATATCATGAATCGTTGTTGCAAGTCTAAGTCATTGTTGCAAGTTTAGGTCGTTGTTGCAATGAATGGAGCAGCGAAAACAGACAAATGGATTTAACACCGAAAACCCACATTCCCTATGAAAGCTCTTGAAAGCCCCTTCAGATATACCATCTGAAATTGTCCATTCTTCCAAGTAAGTTGCTTTCGTTAAATCCATTTGCCCATTCTTCCTTTCTTACAAGTCTAAGTCGCTGCATTTGGCTACTCGCGAATTTCCTCCCCCGGGGTGCAATCCCAGTCTTTGGCAACTTGTTCTGGCTTCATATATTGGCACTGCAACAAATTATTCAATCATTTCAAGTTTTCAAACTCGGGGGAAAAAAGAAAACGAAAAACACTTGGTAGTTGGAAGGAACTTGTCTGTTTTCTGTGCTCATGGAGAGAAGTCGTTTCCTCTTGTCGATAACGTTGTTGCTGGTACACTACAGTTCTATAGGTATAGTAGGTGCAACACAAACCGACATCACCACAGACCAGTTTGCTCTTCTTGCTCTCAAATCCCATATCACTAGTGACCCTCACAACATCTTGGTCAACTGGTCAACCACCACCTCCGTCTGCAACTGGGTTGGCGTCACTTGTGGTTCTCGCCACCTCAGAGTAGCATCATTGAATCTCTCGTACATGGGTTTCACTGGCACCATTCCACCACACTTAGGCAACCTCTCATTCCTTGTTGCACTAAGCTTCAACAATAACAGCTTCGATGGTGCTTTGCCCTATCAATTGTCTTATTTGCGTCGCTTGAAGTTGATTAGCTTCGGATACAACAATTTTATGGGATCCATTCCATCGTGGTTTGGGTCCTTCCCCAAACTTCAAAGCTTCAATTTGTATGGCAATCAGTTTTCAGGTTCCATACCTATGACTATCTTCAACTTGTCTACACTGCAAGTACTTAATCTAAGGGCTAATCAACTATCAGGTACGTATGTGTCAAGAAGTTATATATACTCTATTGTTGATCTATCATTATATGTTTTAACATATTGTTATTAATCTATAAGCCCGATGTGTTCTTTAGAAAATTAGGCTAATTTTTTCTTCCTTGCAGGTCATCCAATACTAAAAAACTCTCACTTGAATAGATTAGATATTTGGTTTTAAATTTTAAGGGTGGTTGAGTCTATTCATGTTGGTTTTTTGCTATACTCGAAATTTTTTACAAAACTTACATTTCTAAAACTAGGGACTACCTATTGTAGGCTACAAATGATAAAAACTTGTTGGGCGTTGAGGGATAATGACATAGATTGTAAATAATGAATGATATATATATATATATATATATATATGGGGAATATTTATGAGGTTTTAACATATAGGCCCATTATAACATAACATAGCATTTTATTTTATTTTATTTTATAAAAACGCCCTTCAAATCCAATACTACAGAAAAACTCCACATTGTATCTTCAACTAGTGAAAAAATTGTAACATACTAAGAACCAATTAGAAAGTGACAAGTGACTAGTTGAGGTTTTTTTTTCTTCTCCAAATAGGCACTCTAAGAGTTTTTCTATAAATTATGTAGTTGTCATGGTATTTTTTTCTTCTTATAATTTCATTTATTTAAGGCTTATTATCACAAAACATCCCTGACGTTTGTGAAATTATCACATTGCATCCCTAACGTTTTTTTGTATCATTAATGGTCCCTAACGTTAATACAGGTACTCTTAAATAGTCCTTCTGTCAAAAAA